GAATGAATGTCCACACAATGCTCAGAACATAATAGGCAACTAACAAATAATATCTATTATTACTTTATTACTATTATGATTATTACTGATTGGCAGAAGGCATATGACCTGTAAGGACACTTAATTCCTTATTTTCACACAGTTGTCATGCCTTAGAGACTTCCCTAACTATCCCTCCAGCTTCAACTCGTCTGAGTACATGATTTTTGTTCTAGTCTTGTATATCTCATAGCTTCTAGGTTATTTCTATTTCACTAGAGACCTTGGGAAAGTTTATTAATCTCTCTAAGTTTTAGATTCCACATCTAAAACAAGGGATTGATAATATTACTTACCATATAAGGTTGTTGTGAGGTTTGAAAGAGGAAATGTACTTCACCTAGTGCTTGCTACTTAAGTAGAAGAGAAGCCCTCTTACCTGCTGTAGTCAGGGCCAACATTTGGATAGTTAATTTAATTAGTTTTTTCAAAGTTGATGAAGAGGGGGCAGTATTATCTATGTTTACATCCAGTCTTAAACCAATAGTTCTTAAAATGTGATCTAGGAACTCTGGAGAGTCCCTGACACACTTTGATGGCTCCATGAGGTCACAGCTATTTTTCTAATAATACTAAGATTTTATCTGCCTTTTTCACTGTCATTCTCCCACAAGAGTACAGTGGAGTTTCCCAGAAGCTACATGACAAGTGACAATGAAGCAGATTGACTGCAGAAGCAGATGTGAGAATCCAACTGTCTTCTCTTAAACCAGACATTAAAGAGACTGCAAAAAGTGTAAAACAATGCCACTCTTCTCACTAAATGTTTTGGAAAATATAGTTATTTTAAAAATATTTAAATGTTTTAATTTATATTAACATTTAATGTGTTTATTATTGTTAATTTGAAACATAATAACAAATAATTTATCAGTTTTAATTTCTAACATGGTAAATATTGACAGATATAATCCACATAAATAAAAGTTCTTTGGAATGCTCAATAATTTCTAAGAAAGTAAAGGGGGGGTCTTTTGGTTTCTGGTCTGGCATGTCAGGAGCTTGAAAGTTGTCATTCCATTCTAATAACAAGTGAAAAGCTGAATCAACTGAAAAATCAACAACTCTTCTTAGATCTGTCAGGCAGACACAGAGAATTACAATTTACTGGAGCAGAGACCCACAGGCAAAACCTCCATTGGACAGTACCAGGGTGGGAAAACATGAACTGCAACTAACAAATTGCTGGAGGCTCAGTGTGGACAAGTCTCAGAGTTCAAAAACCCTTGTGGGGGAGGGGTGGGGTGCTCCCCATACTTTATAGTAACCATTTTGAAATACAACAAAGCATTTTTTTTTTTTTTTTTGAGACAGTGTCGCTCTGTTGCCCAGGCTGTAGTGCAGTGGCACTATCTCTGCTCACTTCAACCTCTGCCCCTGCCTACTGGGTTCAAGTGATTCTCTTGCCTCAGCCTCCTGAGTAGCTGGGACTACAGGCATGTGCTACCACATCCAGCTAATATTTTGTATTTTGAGATGGGGTTTCACCATGTTGGTCAGGCTTGTTAAATACAGTAAAGTTCCTCTTCAAAGACACAGTATGTACAACTTTCTTGTTCTTTGTTCTGCAAGTAATCTTTCCTGCCTTTGCCGTGCTCAGACATGTCCACGCATGCCTTAGCTTTAGTCAGTCTATAACTCACGTCCCCTTCTTTATTTGGGAATGTGTTAGCTTCCTAGTTCCCCCAAAAGTGACCTCCTCCTTTCCTTTGTTCCTCCATTGCGCGTTTACCTATTTAGGAAAAGTTTAAGATCTTGGCCAGTTGGGATCAGTTTAGCATGTGTGGTCCAGTTCCAGCCAATGGAAGCAGGACACAGAAGTAGGGACAGTGTCAGGAATAAATACTCCTGCTTTCCTTTGTTCCTTGTGCTCTTGCAGCAACCAAGAGCATGAGCAGCACCCTTCAGCAGAAGTAAATTTGCCTTGTTGAGAAATCCTTTGTTTGAGTGCTCATTTTCTTTGTGACTTCAAGCAATTGTTTGCAACAGGCTGATCACGAACTCCTGACCTCAAGTGATCCACCTGTCTCAGCCTCCCAAAGTGCTGGGATTACAGGTGTGAGCCACCATGCCCGGCCCAGAGCATTCTTTTACCAAGGTCTAACCTACTGGGGTTTTATCAGAGCCTAACTGACCCAGTATAAGAGAAATGCCTAACTCTAGCAAGCTCCAGACCTTCTGTCCCATCTAAAGGGGAGAAAAAAACTAAGAGGCACTTGTACTGATCACATTCCAGTGACACAGGCTTCCTAAAAGACTGAGACCCAATCATAGGGTTATAGAACACTTCCCACCACCCATCTCTCCCCACCCTACCCTCTACCGCCACATTACTAAAGGCCCATTTACTGCGGGTCCTTTTACCCACTACCTCATGTCTGGCTTTCAACAAAAACTCACAAGGCATATTATAAGGCAAAAAACATAGTTTGATGACAGAACAAACATCAGAACCAGACTCAGATATGGCAGAGATGTTGGAATTATCAGACTAGCAATTTAAATAACTATTATTAATATGCTAATGATTCTCATGGAAAAAGCAGACAACATGCAAAAACCGATGGGTAATCTAAGCAGAGAGATGGAAATTCTGAGAGAGAATAAAAAAGGAATGCTAGGTATCAAAACCACTGTAACCGAAATGCAGAATGCCTTTGATGGGCACATTAATAGACCACATATGGCTGAACAAAGAATGTCTGAGCTTGAGAATCTGCAATAGTAACTCTCAAAACTGAAAGGCAAAGAGAAAAAAGACTGTGGGAAAAAAACCCAGAAAGAATATCCCAGAGGTGTGAGACAAATACAAAAACTGTAACATACGCAAAAGAAGAATAGAGAAAGGGACAAGAGAAATATCTGGAAAAAAAGGAGTCTTGAGATTAAGAAAAAGTTTGAGAATCACTACTTTAAACATTTTCGAGAAAACATACAACTGTATTTATTTTCCAATCTTTTGACACAGAGAGAGGATATTTTCTTGTGTGTGAGTCCACTAATTGGACTCTTAAATAAATCACACCCATGGCACATTGTCTACAATTTTCAATTTAAATTTCTTAAAGCAGAGTAAGAATTTGAAGATTTTTGCAGAAGAATTGTGGTGCAGGATCTGTCTAGATTTTAACAATTTTCTCCCTGACATCTAATATGACAGCAATTTATTTTACTATGAATCTATCCAAAGCATTCAACTTAATTTTCATAAAGACAACACTTTCCACTCTCTTTTTAGGTCAGTTTGTGTAATTTAAATTAACTTAATACAACTACAAGATTAACAACTGGCTTGAGTAGGCTGGGAAATAATCATAACTACCCTTAGTGTAACTCCCAGCTACAGGGAGCAGGCATTTTGGGCAGCCAGGAACCTGACATGGGTGCTGGTCCCCACATTTTGCAGTGGGAATGGAGAGTATAAGTTAATCTCGGTAGCCAGGTAAAGGGAGATTGATTAAAAGCATTTTGCAAAACGTGGAAACCACTATTAATATTAGTGCCCGACTATTAACTCAAACCCTCCTTGCCCACTAATCCATAATCCTCAATTATAAGAAAGACTTCTTATTTTCATCCTTATCTTCAGTAACCATCACAGTGGGGATAACTTGGGGAATATTTTGATACCAAGTCTAAACAACCCTTTAGTCCCCAGTCCCCTATGCTAGTTTAAATATCATCTCCTTTGTATCTCCTCTGTTATTGTTGTTTTTGTTTTGTTTTGTCTTATTTCATTTTCTTTCTCTTTCTTGGTTTTAAAACCCTGCCCTTTGCTCAACCTTTCTCTTTATCCCTGATCTGTCCCTAAGCCCTGCAATGTCTTCTGCTGACAGGTCTCTTACACTGGACGCCCCTCATGCCCTTTTCCCTGACTTTCTTCCTCTGACTCTTCCCTGCCCCCAGGCTCTCATATAAGTTAAGGGCACTTGGCAATTATCTCACAGAATGTAGCTGTCACCAGGAACTTTCTGGAGGCCAGAGGCCCTATCCTTGTCATTTCGCTCTCTTTCTAGCATCTGGTGCTGGCCCATGGCACATGTCCCTTGCTTCCTGATTTCAAGGGCAGGGGCCAGGGCTGGTCAGCTCTGGATGTGTGGTGAGGGGCTGCAGGGGAGGCCATGCTCAGGGCACATGTAGATGACCAGTGTGTCTGTCTCAGCAGAGGCAAAGTTTTTCCCTCTTGTTTTGACAGTTAGGGTTGCAAAGGCAAGTGGCACAGCCTCCTCAGACAGACATAACATTGTGGCCAAAGCATGGTCAGAACTTAGTTATTGCCTCTACTTGCAGGAATGCCAACAAGGACAGGATAAAAACTTTTTAATCCAAGGAACATTTCTTTTTTTTTTTTTTTGAGACGGAGTCTCGCTCTGTCGCCCAGGCTGGAGTGCAGTGGCGTGATCTCGGCTCACTGCAAGCTCCGCCTCCCGGGTTCAGGAATCCAAGGAACATTTCTTTGCAGCGAGAGTTAAGATTTACATAGAGCTGTCCGCAACTTGTATAATTGGGTCTGTGGGACGCACACCCTAAACTCCTGTGAGGCCCTTCACCAAACTTTAAATTGCTTCTGGGATTAAAACTGGCTCCCAAACAACCAAGGCTCTAAACTGCTCCATGGCTCCCTGATAGAATCTCTGGAGAGCAGGTCTGGGTGAAGGCACAGGGTGCCCGCCCTGAGCATGCAGGCAGGGCATGACTGCAGAATCAGCAGGAAGCAGCTCCTCGAGCTGTCCTTCCTCTTGGCATCTCACCAGGCGTGGAGGTGAGGAAAGTTAGCAGGAAAGTTAGCAGCTAGAGCCCCTTCAGCTATGGCCAACCCCACATTCCCTTTACCTTGCTGTGAAATTTGAAGAAATTGTTTAGTTCCAAGACAGCTAAATAGAATTTGCTATATGCTTCCAGGCACAGCCCCAACCGATGGGGCTAGCTGGAGATGGTCAATGTGGGCAGTTGGAACAATCACTTCTCAAGCCTGGAGACCTTCCAGCATCATCCCCTGCTATGAGACCTTTTGTCCAGGTAAGTGCCTGTCTCCATAATGGACTTATCTCCACACTGGATGTAGACTGGGTTCTCTCTGTGGCTAAACCTTCTTCAGGTAGGTGAGCAGAAGAGCAAAGGTTGTTGTGAGTGGGAACTTGGCCATAGCTTCCATAGGGTCTTTTATAAGGGAAAGGGAGCAGGCATGTTCTGGGAGTCTAGGCCTGTGTGGGGATGGGGCAGAGTAGGGGGAAGAATGGGGAATAACATTAGAAGGAAGCTTCTGCCCAGTGTAAGGAAAACCTTTCTAGCAATGGAGGCCATCCAACAAAGCAATGGGAGGTATGAGCTCTACCTACCTTAAGGTGTTCCAAACAAAAATTGGAAAATTGTGTTGCATGGAAGGTATTCGTGCAATGGAGGGAAGCGAGACAAGACCAGTTACTTTACAATATCTCCGCCAAGTCTAAGATTTTCCAGTCAGCAGTGCTAGTAACTCTAAAGACGGATCTCTTTTCCCCACATATTCCTGATGTTCACAGTCAATCTCCTCTGATAACTGCATGAGGATGGCTTCAAACTGGGCCCAGTTTCTCCCACCAGATCTTTCCCAGCCAGCAACAGTGTGATAGTTACAGATGGAATGTGTGGCTCCCAGGGACACCATCCACCCCCACCCAAGCCCTGACATGAGGCAGAGATCTTGGAGAAAGGTGTGATACCTCTACTCTTCATGAATATCCTAGGGAGAGAGAGGATAATCAAGACTTCATAGTCGATTCTTTAGTGCTTGGTAGTTCTACTCTGGCACAAATGGACCAGCAAGGATCTAATCAGAGTGGTAAGGGAAGGAGCATTGGGGAGAAGGTGAGGAGCCACCTGGCCCTGTCCTTGCTGCCTGTGCTCCTTTCTGAGCCTCAGCTTCCTCATCTTAACATGAGAAGTCAAGGCTTGAGGTTTTCTTTCTTTTTTTTTTTTTTTTTTTTGAGACAGAGTCTCGCTCTGTCACCCAGGCTGGAGTGCAGTGGCACGATCTTGGCTCACTGCAAGCTCCGCCTCCTGGGTTCACATGATTCTCCTGCCTCAGCCACTCCAGTAGCTGGGACCACATGCGCCCGCCACCATGCCCGGCTAATTTTTTTGTATTTTTAGTAGAAATGGGGTTTCACCGTATTAGCCAGGATGGTCTTGATCTCCTGACCTCATGATCTGCCCACCTCGGCTTCCCAAAGTGCTGGGATTACAAGCATGAGCCACTGCGCCCGGCCAAGGCTTGAGGTTTTCTCTAGTGTGCTGGATCTATAGGTCTGCGGTGCCATTTTCAGCCTCCTTTGAGCGATCCCTCTGTAAGCCTGGGTGGAATTGTCTGCTCTTCCGTGGAGAAACCGTTACTATGACATTGCAGTGGTTTAATGGTCAGCTTGGATATAGAAGGCCCTGAGTTACGAGCTGTGACATAAAACTGCTTCCAAAGCACAGAATCTACCCACAAACTCACACTGGGAGGCATGAGGGACACTTGTCCTTGGATTCTATTCCTGCTCCTTCATGGGTCTGGAGCAGACTGGGAAACAGCAGTACTGGGAACAAAGGCTGGTTAGAGGGGATATGGAAGTGCTTCTGTTAGTGTCTCCAAGCTCTCTTGCTCAGAAACTCCTCATTGACAGGGCAGCCAAGGGAGATCCCCAACCAAACTCACGAGAAATGAACTAGAAACCAGGAATCAAGTAACAAATGTAAATGCTGGATAGACCCTAGTTTTCCCGATCTCTGCTCATCACATACTCCCTGGGAAGGACTGTATTTGGAGCTGAATTATCATCAGAGAATTAGAGCCAGGGGAGTGGGTGGGGTGATGTCAGTGGCCAGCATCACTGAGTGTGACAGCCTGAAGCCCCCAAGGACACTGCAGGGACAATTCAGGGACAAGCAGGGCTGGCCAGAGGAGCCCACTTCCCTGGTCAGTGTTGGAACCATGCAGCATGCCCTCAAAGGTCCTCTTTTATGGAGCTTATGCAGATCCTTCCTTGCATATCCATTCCTTCAAGTGTGTTAATACCACTGATCTGATGAAAATTCTTTCATTTATCATGGTTTGATTAGATTTCCAGGGTCTGCTTCTCCTACTTTTGATCTGACATGTCCTGACTTTTAAGGTAACTTCAGTAGGCAGTGAATTTTATCTGTTAGCTGCTGATATTACAGTTTGGCATCTCAAAGGGTAAATTTGATTATATGTTCTAGAAGCGTCTCATTATAAATACCACATACTGATCTTTATAAACATGTTTGCTGTTCTCAGTTTCCCTAAATGGGGAAGAGAGAATTTAAAATGGAAGTGGCCAACCAATCCATTGTGGCAGAATTTGTCTTGCTCGGCCTGTCAGATCAGCCAAGACTGGAGAAAACATTCTTTGTGCTCATCCTGCTGATGTACCTGGTGATCCTGCTGGGCAACGGGGTCCTCATCCTGGTGACTGTGTCCGACTCCCACCTACACACACCTATGTACTTCTTCCTCGGGAACCTCTCCTTCCTGGACATCTGCTACACAACCTCTTCCATTCCTCTGGTCCTGGACGGTTTCCTGACTCTCAGGAAAACCATCTCCTTCTCAGGCTGTGCAGTGCAGATGTTCCTCTCCTTTGCCATGGGAGCCACAGAGTGTGTGCTCCTGGGCATGATGGCGTTTGATCGCTACGTGGCCATCTGCAACCCCCTTAGGTACCCAGTAGTCATGAGCAAGGCTGCCTATGTGCCCATGGCTGCCAGCTCCTGGGTGGCTGGTGGAGCCAACTCCTTGGTGCAGATCTCTCTTGCAGTACAGTTACCCTTCTGTGGGGATAACATCGTTAATCATTTCACCTGTGAGATCCTGGCAGTTCTGAAGTTGGCCTGTGCTGACATCTCCATCAATGTGATCAGCATGGGGGTGGCCAACATGATCTTCCTGGGGGTCCCAGTGCTCTTCATCTTTGTCTCCTACATCTTCGTACTCACCACCATCCTGAGGATCCCCTCAGCTGAGGGACGGCGAAAGGCCTTCTCCACGCGCTCTGCACATCTTACTGTAGTGGTGATTTTCTATGGGACTATTCTTTTCATGTATGCAAAACCCAAGTCTAAGGACCCCCTGGGGGCAGACAAACAGGATGTTTCAGACAAGCTCATCTCCCTCTTTTATGGAGTGTTGATCCCCATGCTCAATCCCATCATCTACAGCCTGAGGAACAAGGACGTGAAGGCTGCTGTGAGGAGCCTGGTAAGTCAGAAATGCTTCACCCAGCGATAGTGAGAGGAAGCAGTGTGTCTTTTGGTTCTGTTTACACAAGGGGTCTACTCAGTAAGCACAGACTTGCTTAATGGTCCCACACAACAGTTTCCAAACTGATGTTCACTGAGATGGGGCTTTCTTCGTGATGGAAGATGGAACACTAACTCTTTAGAATGTGCTAAATTACCTAGAACCGAGAATAAGTGACTATTAAATTTTCTTTGTATTTTTATTCTGAAAAAATAAGCAATAAAAATTAGAACTTTGTAAAACAAACACTTATTTCTTTGTTCATGTGCAGACCAGTTTCAATTTGTATGTGACAATTACGTTGTTTTCTGTTGTACTGTGTAATGGGGAGCATGACAGTGAGGAAAAGTCACTTTTTTTTTTGAGAAAACCATTTTTATTATCATCACCACCCAGGTTATCTGTGCTAAGTTATGTGCCGAATGACCAGATCTTCAAAAGAACAGCTACATAACATTTCTTTCATGTTTCAAGAGATGAAAATAACTGTACAAGATTAAGTACAAAAGTACACAAGACAGTAGACATGAAAAAGATCCATGTGTGAGATTTTTATCCCACCTACAGCTTTTATGTATTGAAAAGTAGAATTCATGATCTAAAAAATATTGTCCTTCTATAGTCCCGTCAAGTTTAGTGTAAGTGGGTTTAACCTGATTACAACACTAACACCAGTGTCACTTATCTGATATTTATAAAAATTCATATTTTTCAATAAATGAAAGTCAGTGTAACACCCATGCAAGCTAGAATGCTAGCTGTTTGGTGAACAAGGACCTGATATCAGAACAAGAAGTATATAAAGTCCCAAACTTTAAAGTATGATCTTTTTCAAACTGCATCCATTCCTCACATTGAAGATGTGAAACCCAAACCCATTCCTCTTTGTGTGTGGATTTGTGATCTTGCCTTTTCATACGGAGCATCTAAACTTCTAAATACTTCTTCCTATTGCTTCAGAGTTTTGTAACTTTCTTCATCAACTGAGCTACATCGAGCTTCATCTTCACTCTTAATACCCATCAATTTCCTAAATTTGACATTTTGGTCCTTGTTTCCAAAATTCAATTTTTCGCGTATTTCAGCAGATTAAGATTTGCCCTCTTCTTTCTTGCCCTGCCAAAGCATTTTCCTTTTTTTCTCTTGTTCAGCAAATTTCAATGGATTCACATGGAAATTCTGCTGGGTTATAGTAGCTAGGTACAGCTATTCCTGTCTCTGCCAAAGCTTTAGCTTGCAGGGCTGCCATTTGAGCTGTCATGGCTATCTGAGGTATTACTTGCATTCCTGATGCCAACAGGGCAGCAACATTGAGAACAGAACCCCCAGTAGCTGCAGCTGCTGCAGTCATTTCTTGTTGTTTTTGTTTTTCAACCATTTTCTTGTATCGCTGTTCTTATAATTTCTTTGCCCTTTCCAACCTCCTAGCTAAAGCTTCTTGTGTATCTATTGCTGTGTTTCTGCCTCTGAAGGGAAGTGGACTCGGAGTCCAGCTTTAACTTCTGCTAAATCTTCTCGGTTTTTCAATTCTCTTTTTTCTATCTCGACTCCTACTCTTTGTCCTACTCCTGCTTCTAGTCCTATGCCTGTATCTCGATCTTGAGCAGGAATGAGACCTGATCTGCCCTTTTCTTTCCCTGCTTCTGGATCTTGATTTCTTCCCCTCTCTGCTTCTAGGTTGAGACTTCTTCCACTCCCCACTCCTGGATCGGGACTTCTGCTCCAGTCTGCTTCTACTACGATGGCGTCTTTCACGAGACCTAGATCTTGAGTGACTTCTGCCTCTTGATGACTCATTTTTTGCATTTGTGCTTGTCCTCACTATTTTCAGATTAATTTAGTTGCCCTCTTTCTTTATCAGAGGAATGTTCTTTGACATTATGTTCCTCAGATTTGTGTTTCTTAGAGGATTTTTCTTTGGATTCATGTCTTCTTGCCTCTTTGCTTCTGTTCCAGCTCCTGTGTTTTCTTCCTTTATTACTTGACTTTCATTTTCTTTCTCTTGACCTTGATCGTGATCTTGAATAATAATGTTTTGAGGCTCCAGGAGGAACAGATACATCTGACTACTCTTTTTTCTTATCTCTATCTGGTGATGTCCTTTGTGGGGTTAGTCCATCTCATTCTGTATCACTAGCTGCCACAGTTCAGAGTCCTGGCCGCTAGGGCCGCACCTCCACTTGCTGCTTTCAACAGTTGGAAAAGTCACTTCTTAATTGGCATCCAAATTGAAAACCAATCTGCTATTTTAGAAAATTGCCAATATCAAGATGCATCCTGAATGACATCATTTAACCCCTCTTTGACTATAGGAGCTCAGAGTGCTGTCTGTCTAATTATTTCCTGCTTAATATCCTAGAGAAAATTTTGGGTAACTCTTTTTCCTCTTAATATACATAGAGCATGTCTATTTTCTACCCAAAGTCACTGAAGAGTTTGCTGCAACACCACCAAACTAGATAATACAGCCCAAGAAGAGAATCGTTAGCAGTCTTCCTCTAGATAAATCATTACTACAATATGAAGTTTATATTCACAGTCCATTTCATTTCTTTATGATTTTAGATTGGATGCTGGCAATAATTGCTCAAGCCTACTAATAATTACCCTTCTGGCTAAGAGCATAGACTTTGCAACCAGACTAACATGGAGTACCTCTGCCTGCACACTTCAGACCTGTTTAGAAAGAACTATTTAATCTTGTGGACCCTTAGTTTCCTCATTTGTAAGATGGAAATAATTAAACCAACTCCATAGAGGTGTTGTGAATATCAGTATGTGTATATGTTAAAAATGCATAGCGGGACAGGGCGCCCAAGATGGCCGAATAGGAACAGCTCCAGCCTCCAGCTCTCAGTGTAAGCGACACAGAATATGGGTGATTTCTACATTTTCAACTGAGGTACTGGGTTCATCTCACTGGGGTGTGTCGGACAGTGAGTGCTGGTCAGTGGGTGCAGCCTGACCAGTGAGACCTGAAGCAGGGCAAGGCATCGCCTCACCTGGGAAGTGCAAGGGGGAAGGGAATTCCTTTTCCTAGCTAAAGGAAACTGAGACGCACAACACCTGGAAAATCAGGTAACTCCCACCCTAATACTGCGCTTTACCAAGGGTCATAGCAAATGGCACACCAGGATATTATATCCCACACCTGGCCCAGAGGGTCCCACACCCACGGAGCCTCCCTCATTGCTAGCACAGCAGTCTGAGATCTAACTGCAAGGTGGCAGCGAGTCTGGGGGAGGGGAGCCCGCCATTGCTGAGGCTTAAGTAGGTAAACAAAGCCTCCAGGAAGCTCGAATTGGGTGGAGCCCACCGCAGCTCAAGGAGGCCTGCCTGCCTCTGTAGACTTCACCTCTGGGGACAGGGCATAGTTAAACAAAAAGCAGCAGAAACCTCTGCAGATGTAAATATCCCTGTCTGACAGCTTTGAAGAGAGCAGTGGTTCTCCCAGCACAGAGGTTGAGATCTGAGAACGGACAGACTGCCTGCTCAAGTGGGTCCCTGACCCCTGAGTAGCCTAACTGGGAGACATCCCCTACTAGGTGCAGACCGACACCTCACACCTCACATGGCTGGGTACACCTCTGAGACGAAGCTTCCAGAGCAAGAATCAGACAGCAACATTCACTGTTCAGCAATATTCTATCTTCTGCAGCCTCTGCTGCTGATACCCAGGCAAACAG